ACCTTACTTGAACCTTTCGTCTATGAGTACTCAAAAGAGTCATTGCGGAAAGCAGCAAGTCGCTTACTCCTATGCGTCTCAAAGTTCGAAAAGTAAATCGTCTAAGTCATGTTGTGAAATATTGCTTCGTAATGCCCATGCTTGTAATTCTACACTTTTTTCCTTTTGGCTATTCTCCATAGCTACTAGATCTCCTAACTCACATTCGGGCACAAAATCCTCACCACTATCACTGGACGCACTACCCACATATTCAGTTTCATGTATTTCCATATAATCACTATCCCTTATTCAACTTCCCGTATCACCAATTTCCTAAAATTCAGTTGCTTGAGCAAGTGCATTAACCTCGTTGCCTGGTATCATATCAAATCTCTAGAGGTAGATGACGCCCTGCCGCAAGTAGTTATATATTGCGCCTAAAAATATGCACCACATACGCTACAGCGGAAATGGACGACACGCCATTTCTTTAAATGAAATTAATTGGTGATCGTATGTATATACATACATATATGCATTTGTGTGCACCAATGTATTAATATCGAAAATAAATAAAATAAAAACAACTTTCTAATATACCACGCTTTTATAAATGGACTAAAAAGTAGAAAATGTTATTTCTTAGTCCCATAGAGTTTGTTTTGATAACTTTTGCATTTAAAAAATTTTAGCAAAAAATATTATAAACAATTTATGATTGAAAATGCAAAGCGCATTTAATAGACTTGAATTGATATGAAAAGTAATATATGTATGTATGTGGGTATATGAATAACGATCGCTTAAAATCGATCTCAAATATTGTACTTGCGCTGTAGAAATTTTAGGTCTATGTTATGTAGTTAACTATTGTCAATTAAATCCAATTCTGGACGTACCCCAAGTTTTTCGTTTTCAAGCTCATAAATTGCTTATAATGACTTTTGCTAAAATTTTTAAAATTAAAAGTTATCAGAACAAATTCTATGGGACTGAGAAATATTACTTTCGAATTTTTAGTCTATTTATAAAAGCGTGGTATATTAAAAAGTTTTTTTTTATTTTATTTATTTTTTATATAAAATACAAAACTTCTTATCTACTGCAACCGCTCGCACCAGGAAATCTTTTAAATTAAAATTTTAGGTTAGCTCCACGTACAAAATGGCAAACGTCAAAAATGGGAATAAAGAATAAATGTGAAATTTGAAGAATTTTCCATATTGTGGTCTGTTTTCCACACATAAACCCTTATAGAAAAAACAATGTGAAAAATAATCTACGTGAATTGAAGGAAAAAAAAATTGTGTCATGTGGCTTTGATGGTGTTGGTGAAATAGCAATTTTTTTCAATGTATTGGAGTTGGCGTGAGTCGTGTCCCTGCAGCAAATCAAACTGGTTCAGAACTTGCGCTGAGAGCAAATGAGGTTATAGTATAGAGCCTTTTCTTTCCTTCAGTTTATGTATCCTCTTTTGACTGTGGGAAAAGAAAGTTTACAGTAAAACCCGCTTAAGTACCTCACGAAAAATTTCAGTTTTTTGTGGTACTTAGGCGGGTTGAGTACTTAAAAGAACCCGCTCAATTACCTCCATGCGGGTACTTAAGCGAACATAATTATTGCTGTAGTTACCCTGCAGCAAATCAAACTGGTTCAGAACTTGCGCTGAGCTAGCCTAAAAAGGGACGGTACTGGTTGTTTATCTATCCCAAATCAATGCCTTCAACTGTCTTTTTTAACATGGCGATGTCCTACGAAGTGACAATTGTCGCCCTCTGCAGAACTTCTGAACTTGTTCTGAGCTGACTCTGGATTAGATGGTTCTGAGACAGTTCATATAACAACAGTTTCTAGATAGTTTAAAAAGGGTCACCTCCGGGCTAGAACAAATGTGGTTAGTTTTGAGCTGGTTCTAAGAAGTATAGTGTAGAGCAGTTTCTTTAAATAAGCACGCATACAAATTTTTAAAATAAAAAATACTTCATTTTATGTTTAAATAGCTATTTGTTTTGCACTAATTTACTTTCACCTTTTACCTTCATTCATCATTCATCATTGTTATTCCTTCATTTTCTAAAACCGTTATTACTAAAAATAATTTATATTTGTTACGTTTAACGGGTATTTCCGTGTTACTTCTAATTAAAGATCTAAACTAAGTCGTGTGAAAAATGAGAAAAGGGTGATATATTGAATGCTTATTTGTCACCCCAAACTTTATTAAATGTACTGAAATGTAATACATAGACTTATTAGATGAAGTACATATAGAATTTTGAATATTCGCAATGGTTTCCATACGAAATAGTTTTCGTAAATTTTTTATTTAAGGATGTTGTCATCATCTTGTATTTAGTCTACAGCATTGTATTCAACACTTGTATGAAATTAACTTTGTATATTACACAATTGGGTCTGAGTATGTAGAGTATGGGTTGTTAAATGAAATTAAAAATGAAAAATCATTATTGAATAAAAGGAAGTCAATCGGAAAAGATCTCTAGCGATAGATTTTCAGAAGTGGGATGGACCTAAATCGATTAACAGTTTTGCAATTAAAAGAAGTTTTACAAAAACTTAAACTAAAAACGAGTGGAACTAGAGCCGAACTAATAAGCAGACTTCAGGACGTAAATGCAGAATCGTTAATGCCGATAATGAATTCGCTTACGCCATTATCAGCGGGTACAGGTATACCACCGGCTAGTGACGCTAGTCAACAGGATCCTGAGGAACCGTCGAGGGACGATGCCCGAGTCAGGTCACAGCTTGAGATGCAGGTTAGCGCGCTGTGTGGTGCTGTAGAAATGCTAACTGCACAATTGCAGATATTACGACCAATGGGTCCGAATGTTCCAGAGTCTGGGACATCAGACAGAAATGCTTCCGTTGGTACGTCGTACATTTCATCACTGCCCTCATTTACGTCAGCGTCTTTGGCAAGTTTTCAGCAAGCAGCATTGGTTACGCCACGACCGTCATCGTCTTCGTTTTTCCCAGTTGCGTCACAGTTATACATACATATTCCACCGACTTCACAGCAATCGATTCCGTCATTTCCATATTTACCAAGCCAAACATCACCTATGGAGCAGTGTAACCGATCTGTGCTGTTGCCTAATTCAACGAATATTAGAGCCGAAGAGAGGGGTACACATATACCGAGAGGGAGTTTCACACATACGCCAAGCGAAATAGCTATAATTTTGCCCGAGTTCGATCCAATTGATAACACATACTCATCAATGCAATTCGTCGAGAGAGTTGAACAGTTGAGAGCAATGTACCAATGGCACGATACGTTTGTAATTTTTGCTATTCTCAGTAGGCTGAGAGGGGTTGCTAAGCGGTGGGCTGACGCTCAGCCGGCATTTCGGGAATGGAATGAATTTGTGGCAGCATTTCTGACGGATTTCCCAAACGTTAGGAATTCAGCAGATGCCCATATTCGTATGATGAACACAAAAATAGGCAAAGGTGAGAAGTTGGTAGAGTTTTATTATAAGATGTTAGCCATAGGTCGCCGAGATAACATCGATGACAATTCAATAATACGATATATTTTAAACGGGTTAAGTGATGATAATTTGCGTAAAACATTGAGTGCAATGAAGTTCTCCAAATGTGCCGATCTTTTACAATCATTATCAAATATACCCATGAACAATGTAAAGTTCAGTGATGTTATTCACAAAAATTCCTACAAGCAGGTATCTGAGGATTCAGTTGATACAAATAAAAATTTAGGTGGGCCTATTTGCTACAATTGCAAAGAAAGGGGACACATTGCGAAGAGTTGTGCCAAGCCGAAGAAAAGCTTCGATTCAAAGCATAGTGATCGTGTAAATCAATTAACAAATGATGATTGCGTAGATAGTATAGAAAACATAGACATTGTGGATCTCGAAACGTCAGTAAACAAAATCGTGGTTGGAAGTGCGTGCAAAGAGTTGTGCAAACAAATAATTATTATGGGTGTTAAGAAGGTCGAATGCAAAGCGCTTATAGATTCAGGTAGTAGCAGATCTTAAGTCAAGCGGTAGATTGCAATAAAGTGCGGTTTGTGTGCCAATGCGTGCAACGAGAAATTAATTGGTTTCGCAGGCGGGTTAATTATCTGCCACGAGAAATTAACCATGCGTATAAAAGTTGATGAAATCATAAGGTATGTTGAATTTTTGGTTATAGATGATTCCGTAATGGCTCATGAAGCACTTATTGGAATCGATGTACTCTCAAAGGGAAAAGTTGTTATTGAAGGAAGCACCTGCAAAGTTATGTCGATTAGTGGATATGCAATAAATACTGATAGTGAACTTGAAACTGCTTATACGGAGAGGCTTATTAACTTAGTAAATGAATATGCAAATTGTTTTGGGGAAAAGTTGCCCGAATTAGGGATGTCAAAGCAATTTAAAATGGACATCAAGTTAATGTCTCAAAAACCCATATCAAAGAAGCCATATAATATTCCTATACCGAAACAGCGCGTTGTTGAAGAAATAGTCCAAGAATTATTGCAGTTGGGTATCATTCGTAGATCCAATTCTTTGTATGCATCTCCTGTCGTTTTGGTACCTAAACAGAATGGAGAAGACAGACTGTGTGTTGATTTTCGTGAGCTTAATGCGGTGACTGAAAAACAGCCGTGGTTGATGCCGACAGTAGATGGTGTTTTAGCAACGTTGTCTGGTAAAACGTTTTTCACTACATTAGACCTAATGTCTGGTTATTACCAAATTGAACTCGAAGAAAACGCAAAACATTTTACGGCATTTGTCACACATAATGGGCATTATGAATTCAATAGAATGCCATTTGGTTTGCGAAACGCACCGTGTGCCTTCCAAAGGATGATGTAGAATTTGGTTGCACCTTTGAAGCATGTTGTAGTTAGCTATGTAGATGAAGTGGTTATTGCAACAGATACTGAAGAAGGAAATTTATTTTATTTGGAAGAATTTTTAAAAGTAGTTCAGCAAGAAGGGTTGACGTTAAGAATATCGAAGTGTACGTTCATGAAGCGCGAGGTAGTATTCTTAGGGCATCTTGTTAATGAACATGGCATACGTCCAGGTATTTCAAAGACGTCGGCCATAGAACAGTATCCGACACCAAATAATCCGTTAGAGGTTAGACGTTTCCTAGGTTTGTCTGGTTTTTTCCGCAAGTTCGTTCCCGGATATGCATTGATTGCCAAACCTCTCACAGAGCTTACGAAGAAGAACGCCGATTTTAATTGGAGTACAAAATGTGAGCAGGCATTCCGTCAGTTAATAAAACTAATTACTAAAGCTCCAGTGTTGACAATTTACGATGTGTCAAAGGATCATGTACTTCATACTGATGCATCTAGCGCTGGTGTTGCTGCTATACTTTTATAAAGGGAAGCTGATGTTTTAAAGCCGATTTCCTATTACAGCCTAGCGTGCACTCCACAGGAGAATAACTACCATGCATATGAACTGGAGGTGCTAGCTGTTGTAGAAGCATGTGAACGATTCAGAATGTTTTTATTGGGAAAGCATTTTACAATAGTAACTGATTGCGAAGCAATTACGACTGCAAAAATTACAAAACCGATGGCTCCAAGGGTAGCACGTTGGCTTCTCAAACTATTGGAATATGAATATGAAATAATACATCGTGCGGGGTCATCGATGGGTCATGTTGACGCAATGAGTCGTGCGCCGATTAAAGGTTTGGCACAGGTCGAAGATGTCAGTGCAAAGGTTCTAATGTTGTCAGTTGATGACTGGGTGCAAACCATGCAGAAACAAGATATCAAACTAAAAGCAATAATTGAAATTCTGCAAATTGCGGATGGAAAACGAAGAGATATCAGTTCCGATTACTGTCGGTCATCCTGGAGTAGATGGAACCTTTAAAAGAGTTTTGCAAAATTTTTGGTTCCCACGTTTAAGGAATTCTGTAAAGAGTTTTATCAAATCTTGTATTGAATGCTGTTACTGTCGAGAACCGGGGCGGAAGGAGTGTGAACTTTACGGAATGGATATACCAACTTTGCCATTTCAAATACTTCATTTAGATCATCTCGGGCCATTTGTTAAGAGTCGTCGCGATTATGAGTACGTTCTCATTATAGTGGATGCACTTACGAGATATTCTGTTGTAGTTCCAACTCGTTCAACGAAAGTCAAACCGGTAATAGATGCATTGAATCACTTGACTCTTTACTTCGGTTTACCACAACGAATTGTGACAGATCGTGGCACTGCTTTTACGTCTGCGGCCTTCGGTAGCTTTTGTGGGTCGAATAGCATTCAGCACATTAAAGTGGCAGTGCGAACACCTCGTTCAAATGGTTTAGCAGAGCGGGTGAACCAGGCAGTACTGGCATACTTAAGAACATCGTCAAATGATGCCAATGATTGGGATACGCAAATCCGCATGTTACAGTGAATACTAAACTGAATGCAACAACGAAATATGCACCTATTGATCTCATTTACGACTTTCCACTTCGCGATTTGAGTGGAAATAAAATCCTAGCAGCGTTACAAAGTGACGAAGAATAACTGTACATGAACGGTCGGCGAAATGATGCCATTCGGAATATTAAGGCTGCACGAGTGAAATGGAAAGCACGGTTCGATGCACGTTATAGTAAACCGGTGCCATTTCAGGAGGGGTCTTTAGTCCTCATAGAAGCGCCACCGTCAAAAACAGGGGAGTCTAGGAAGTTACAACCAAAATTCAAAGGACCATTTGTCGTAAAGAAAGTATTAAGATTCAATCGTTATGTAATTGAGGACTTTGAAGACATGCAGAGATCACAACGACCATGGTGTGCTCTGTTTCTGGAGATAGATGACGACGGAAATGTTGAGGATGTTGAAGGAGCAGGTTAACTCGGGACGAGTTTATGTCAGGAGAGGCCGAGCTGTCATCATCTTGTATTTAGTCTACAGCATTGTATTCAACACTTGTATGAAATTAACTTTGTATATTACACAATTGGGTCTGAGTATGTAGAGTATGGGTTGTT